CTTTTATTATCTTTACTTTTGATATATGTGTTCTAGATATCATCCACCTCTGTACTTATGTACTTATCTGATAATGGGCATATGGCGCAATGGAAACGCATCAGACTTCGGATCTGAGGATTGCAGGTTCGATCCCTGCTATGCTCGTCTTTTTATCTATAACTTATCCTTATATTATATATACACCTTTATCTATACTATTATACTTATCCTATTTATATTATATATACTATACACTATTCTATTTATACACTATACTTTATATACTATTATTATTTTTATTATTTATAGACTATACACTATTCTATTATCTATACTTTATACTTTATACTTTATAGACTATAGACTATAGACTATTATTATATTTATACTTTATATTTTATATTTTATACTTTATATTTTATATTTTATACTTTATACTTTATAGACTATTATTATATCTATACTTTATACACTATAACCTATTAATATAGATATACACTATTATTATATGTTTCCACTATTATTATATCTATTTTTGTTTTTATTCTATGTTATTGTTTGAATAGGGAACGTAGCTCAGTTGGTAGAGCGTAAGTCTCATAATCTTAAGGTCGTGAGTTCGATACTCACCGTTCCCACCTTTTTGTACATCTATATGACATCTATTACTATATTTTTACATCTATTAAACTTATATATTCCTTTTATTATACTTTTAGTGTACACTCTATTCTTTTATATTATCTATACTATTTTATACTATTTTATACTATCTTATACTACTTATACTACTTATAGTGTTTTATACTATGTAACTACTACTTCCTTTCCTTATATTCTTACTATCCCTATTAACTTTATTACCTTTATTACCTTTACTACCTTTACTACCTTTTATTATCTTTACTTTTGATATATGTGTTCTAGATATCATCCACCTCTGTACTTATGTACTTATCTGATAATGGGCATATGGCGCAATGGAAACGCATCAGACTTCGGATCTGAGGATTGCAGGTTCGATCCCTGCTATGCTCGTCTTTTTATCTATAACTTATCCTTATATTATATATACACCTTTATCTATACTATTATACTTATCCTATTTATATTATATATACTATACACTATTCTATTTATACACTATACTTTATATACTATTATTATTTTTATTATTTATAGACTATACACTATTCTATTATCTATACTTTATACTTTATACTTTATAGACTATAGACTATAGACTATTATTATATTTATACTTTATATTTTATATTTTATACTTTATATTTTATATTTTATACTTTATACTTTATAGACTATTATTATATCTATACTTTATACACTATAACCTATTAATATAGATATACACTATTATTATATGTTTCCACTATTATTATATCTATTTTTGTTTTTATTCTATGTTATTGTTTGAATAGGGAACGTAGCTCAGTTGGTAGAGCGTAAGTCTCATAATCTTAAGGTCGTGAGTTCGATACTCACCGTTCCCACCTTTTTGTACATCTATATGACATCTATTACTATATTTTTACATCTATTAAACTTATATATTCCTTTTATTATACTTTTAGTGTACACTCTATTCTTTTATATTATCTATACTATTTTATACTATTTTATACTATCTTATACTACTTATACTACTTATAGTGTTTTATACTATGTAACTACTACTTCCTTTCCTTATATTCTTACTATCCCTATTAACTTTATTACCTTTTATTTACCTTTACTACCTTTACTACCTTTTATTATCTTTACTTTTGATATATGTGTTCTAGATATCATCCACCTCTGTACTTATGTACTTATCTGATAATGGGCATATGGCGCAATGGAAACGCATCAGACTTCGGATCTGAGGATTGCAGGTTCGATCCCTGCTATGCTCGTCTTTTTATCTATAACTTATCCTTATATTATATATACACCTTTATCTATACTATTATACTTATCCTATTTATATTATATATACTATACACTATTCTATTTATACACTATACTTTATATACTATTATTATTTTTATTATTTATAGACTATACACTATTCTATTATCTATACTTTATACTTTATACTTTATAGACTATAGACTATAGACTATTATTATA